GAGCCTTGTCAGGAGGGGCCTCCTATTGTGGGAAGAGAGCCAGAAAAGTTTAACTCATCAAGTTTTTAATGTTGCCTGTATTGCAAAAGCTAAAAGGAGATCAGGACTTTTTTTTAAGAATAAATTTTATAAAGATACTTGCATGTCACAGGAGTGTGGGGGATTTACTGTAACCGAATTTTATACACGTATTTTCATGAGATGGCCACATAGTAATGAAGACTTTTGCAGTCTTTAAGTGCATTTACATTAAGGTTTTAGTTCTGATCAAGAATGCAGATTTGAATCAAATCCTCCTGGTCAGTCCCACTTCTTCCATATGGTTCATATACAGATGTGGTGTTGGATTGAGCACCCCAGATTCCTGTTCCATTCAACTTAAATGGAAGATACATTCCAGGAAGTCCTCCAACACTGTGAAATTGCCATAGGGAATGCAGTTTTGGGTGAAATTAATTCAGAATACCCCCTAAGACAGGTGTATTGTACAGAGGGGATTCTCAGGACCATTGTAGTGGCTGTAGATCTGTTGCTGTTGGAAAACTCTGCTAAATATTTATTACCTCCATGTTCACCAGTAATCAAGAATATGCTTCATGCAGAATGGTTATGTCTGGGCTGATAATTTCTGGCATCTGATTATTAAAATTGTGTAGATAGACCTAATTGTGTAGACCATGATTAGAGTTCTCCTTTGTTTCTAACCTTCTGTGTAAGGTAGCCCCTGTTACCTGAAGGCCACTGTCTCAAATTTACTGCTGAGAGAATTAATGGCTGAGAAATCTGCCTGCAAAGCTTGCATTGAGATATATTCCAATAACAAATCAGAAAATGTCTCTATACAAGCCTTCTGCATCTGTGTGTAGTGTTTTCCAAGCACTATTTTTAAAGTTCCTAATTTTGATACTTTGAAGACATATATGAGGTTTTGTGGCAATTGGATCAGAGCAGTAAATCATGTTTAGTGACAGCAGACACTTCCTTTTAAGATAGAAGCAATTATGGTAAATAGTAGCAGAGAAATAATAAAAAAAAGAATTAGCAAAAGTATGAAATAAAATCAATGATTTGTAAAAGGCCTTAATAGGATTTGAGATTTCATTTTACTATAAATACGGGTCCAAATTAGATACTGGGATGTGTGTCCTAAAAATTCAAGGCATTTTAAACACTCTGAATTGATAACAATTTTATAACAAATGTATATACTAATTTCACAAGTCAAATGGTCTCTCTCAAAGTTTGGGTATTTTCCTGTCTTGCTTGTCAGTAACTGCTTTGCAGTTTTTGTCATTGAATTGCTATTCTTGACCTTATAAACCAATGAAAGATCCAAGTTTAAAAAGCAGTTAATGTACACAAGCATTAATGACAAATTGCTTGATTGTAGTTTATTGTTTGAAAGAGCCATAGATTAATGATTCTGTAGGATACACACTGATATGAAAAACTAAGCATACTTCTGGAATCCTCTGTTCCAATATTAATAAATGATAAGGCATAACTGCAGCTTTTATTTTGCTTTACTGTGTGTGAAGAATGCAAAATAAAGTAGTGAATTTCATTTGTCTCAGAACTTCAGTGAAGAATTCTGTATTGCCTCCATTATCTGTTTGCACTGAGGCACCAAATCTTAGCTTCTTGATACAATATTTTATTAATGGAACCTATAAAAATTAAAATCCTGATTCTTATGTGCTTTTTATTCAGTGCTTTTGGGTACTTGTTCCTATCCATACAGAAAAATTTGTAACTGTAAGTTAGGATTTACACCAGTTGAGAGTGGTTTTGAGATTGCTCTTAGTATTAAAAGTTTAAAATGCAGTGATATTATTGTTTGGTTTTTTGGGTTTTAAAAATAATTTTTATTAAGTTTTATGTCAAAACAGAACACTGTCTAATTTTATGAAATTGCAATTCAAAAAATTGGAAAATATGTAATAAACTTTTTGTGTACAGGATAAGATGGTTCATGGCACACACATTCTCATTGAAACAGATGTGAGGAAAAAATAATGGAAGAAGATTTTTATTAATTGTAGATATTGAAGGCTAAGTGGACTGTGATCATAATCTGGACTACTCAATAACTTCTTCATAAAATCTATAAATTTTAAAATTATCCTGAATATAATTGACTGTGTCTTTTACAAAATGTCTAAGACTTGATATGAAATCTTCAAATCATCCAGAAACGATGAGTTACTGAAAAATACATTCTGTATTTGCAGTGTAACTACATTCTCTAAATCTCTATCTAGATCTTTTTTATTAGAGAAATGATCTGTCTCCTTTTCTCTATGTTAGTTAATAATGATCAGAAAATCTTTTAATGTTTTCTGAGGGATCATTTAGGTTGAGTCTCTTGTTTCTCACTGCCAAGTTTATTTTTCAATCATTTTCTAGCTGTTTCCTGATCTGGTTACAGTCTTTCAAATATTCACAAGAGTGTGACATGAGCACCAGATGTGTAATTCTCTTAATGGTCTCATGCTACTGTATAGAGATACAGCAAAAGTTCTGAGTTTTCTTTCTCTGCCTGTATTTGTCTTGGTGAATCCAACATTGTACCACGTTTATTTCCACCATGACCTCTAAAGACCTTTTTGATATCCTTGATTTCAGAAGCAGTTCCCTTTCTTCTAAGCCTGCCCTATGTTTTCCAATTATGATCATGGATTCATGATTTCAGGCATGTGTGTATGTGTCTGATAACGTTTATTCAGATATTCCAAACCTGTTCACTTTTCCAAGAAGACTGTCAGGCTTTTTTTTTCAGATCTTGTGAATAATGGAACAAGTTTGGGATGAGAAAAATATCTATGGGTTCCCTTCCTTCTCCAGCAAACATTCATTCAGTACAGAACTAATTGTTCTGACTCTGTCGTGTGGCACATAATCAAATGCCTTACAGAAATCTCAGCATATTATTTCAAAGCACTTATCTTATCAAAGAGTCCCTCTGTAATTGGAAAAGATAGAAAGTTATTTTGACAGGACTGATACTCAACAATGCCACGTTGATTGATGTTAACTGAGCTCCAGCTTTTAATTTATTGCTTTTATATATCAGGATCAGTGTCAAACTATATTTGTCTTTAATTTCTTATAAAACTCTTTACAAATATTTGAAAATACGTGATTTTTTAATTCTTCTAGAATTCTGCCAAAAGGAGATTGCACAAATATTTGAAGTAAAAATGAACATCTGCCTGTTTGAAGAATTGCAATACCCTGTGTAGTTAGGGGAAGAGTCACTTGGAAACCTCTGGCATTGCCCATTTTGTTGATTTCTTGCTGTTTTTAAGGATATCACCAAAGATTAACCTAACACATTATGTTAGTGAAATAGGATCAAACTACTCAGTGGAAAAGAAATCCTTCATTCTTTCTTCAACCTTTACCCTGGCAAAAACTCTTGTCAACTTGAAAGTCAGTTCCATTAGCAGTCATGGGCCTGACCAGGAGTGGCTCCTGCAGAATTCAGAGGGAATAAATTGTGTTTTCAGTGAGGCAAACCCAGTTCATTGGAAGTTTTACAGAACCTGTGCCTTTGTTTCAAAAATAAATAAGGATATTCAGGCCCTACTCTGCCTTTGCTTTGTGGTGTATTTGTGTGGACCTTATAACTCAGATGTGTTCCAAGTTAACTATAAAAAATTTACCCACATTTCTTCTGTGTTAAATGATAGCTAAGTTTATAGTGGACTGTCAGATTTCTTTACTTAATTCAGCAACATGCAAGACATCTATCTTAACATCTGGTTTTTAATAACAGTTGACATCTGGGAGCTTTTTTATTCCAAGAATGGGCTAGGAACAGTAGTGATACTGGCAGTGTATATTTTCAGGCTAAAATTCCTGTCCATTTCAATCACAATTAATTACCATTCATTTTATTAAATTTTTAGATTTAATTAAGTGCCAGCAATATGTTACACCAGCTAATTTTCAAGGTTTTGAAATTATAGAATGGAGTTTTTAGTGTTTCTAAGATATTAAAGGGTGAATTTTAAGGACATCTAAAATGATATTGTTTTATTGGCTTTTGAAATGCTGAGTTAAATGAAAAACACTGTGCTGTGCACCTCTAAGTTCTAGAAGCTGAGTATCACATCACTGGGCACAGTAGAACTGGATCTAGAGATAGCTGTGCACATGCACATCTCTGTGTGTATGGGTAAAGAGTCATTGTGAAATTGCAGTCTTATCTGGGGAAGAATATTTCAATCTCCTGGTTTAGTTCATGTTTATTTTTAAAATTTTGTTAAAATTAAAATTTATCTTAATTATTAATTTCAAGTTTATAATAAATGTGAAGAGAGACTTTCTGCTTTCATGTTATCTGCCATATATTAATCCCTTTTAAAAACAATTTCAATAAATTGTTACGAATTTTTGTATTTGTCATTAATGTTATTTATAAACTTAATGGTTCAAAAATGGAAAAAAAGGGGAAGAACTATTTAATAATATCCAAAAATGTGCAGTGTTTAACATCTGTTGAACAGATAAATTTAATTGATAGCACATTGGAAAAGTGAACTTTTACTTTGCTAATGATAATTTTTTGGCGTATTCAGCACTTTTGTATCTTTTAACAAAATGTAAGACAATTTGATTAATTTTTTTGCTTTCTTAAAGTTTTGACCTTTTCATTGCTGCCAGTGTTGGTTTGAATTGCGTGCAATTAAAAAATAGATAATCTTTTAATATTTAATCTTATAATCATCTTCCTACACACGGTTTTAACTGGTTGGAAAAAATTTTACATGACTGTTGTTGTTTTTCTGGTTGCTATAGATGCAGATTCTTGTATGTGGAACACAAGCTTGTTCAGTTGTGTTCACTGGCTTACATTAAAAAAAAAAAAAGTCATGTTGTTAACAGCCAAGAAATTTGTCTTTTATATGCACCAAAGTAACTAACCTTTCTTTTTTTCTTTCTTTCTTTCCAATGCCAACACCTTCTCTGTGCATCTCCTCATGTCTGGCACACAGGATGATGAGGAGGGTATATGGGCATAGCCACTCCTGTAAACCAAAGTTCCAGTTTTGTTTTGAGGGGTGAGAATCTCTCTTTATCTCTTTTTCAAGCTGCAGTCTAATTGTTATATTCTCTTTTACACTGCATGGAGCTGTGTGTTTCTTGACAAGTGTGTTTGTGAATGCTCTAAGGATGTTTTCTCATATTCAGTGAAAAATGAGAAACTCTGTCTAATGGTTTAATGGTCTAGTGGTTTAGTTTTTTTCATAACTTATTGTGGCTAAAGGTGTAGATGGGTACAGAACTTTAAAAGACATCTATTTGTATCTGTCTAAACAATTTTCTTTTTTTTTTCAGTAAGTAAGTCAGTTCTTTAAAGTAGTATTAATTTGCTGTATCATCTTTATAATCCCTGTATGAGCACTGTAATATCTTTAATACCTTTGCAGAATGTGTATGAAAGTTTGATACTTAAATTTTGCCACAGATTAAGCATGCAGTTTTACTGGAATAGAATTTATGATATGCATGGAAAAACATGAGTCTACCTCTTAAGCTGAAATGTTTTAGTGAAATTTTAAAACAAGTAGCAGATGATTAATAAGGGAAATATAATCTATCTGTGCAGTACATGCTGTTTCTCTGAAATATTATCATGGAGTAACATCCATACAATAATTTGCCTGTGATATTCGAGAGTACAAAGTGCAGCTTGTATTATTTGTCTCTCAAATGATGAGTGAGTACTGTGCTGTCATGGTGTGTCAGGTATTGGTTGATGCTTATCCACTTGTTTGGGGTTTGCCTTTGAAGCTGTGGGTAATTTGTGGCTCAGAATCACCGTGGTCTCAACACTGCTGAAGACGCCAGGCTTTGGTGGATTGCTTGTAGAAAATGTTGCTCACTACTTCTTACAGGAACAATTTTATTTACTACAATGGGCCTGTTCAGAGGAGCAAAATCTACTCACATAAGCAAAGATTAATGTCTCATTAAAGCTTCCACACATTGTATTGCTTTTGGCATTTTACTGTTCTACCTCTCACACTGCTGATTTTCATAACAAGTAGTGTGGCTGAGGGAAATCAAATCTCTCAGTCAACTGAGTGCATATTAAAACACAACATAAATAAAATTAAACTGGTTGTATATCCATCTTATTTAGAAAAGCTTCTATGTATTTGTTTTGTTACTGCAGACATCTACCAAAAGCTAATTGTGAACATGAAGAAAACAAGAGACCCAATGAAAATCAACATGAGGAATATATTTTATGTTGGAGAGGAAAACAGAATAGAAACAATTTAATTTTAAAAGTATTTTAATTGCAAGAATGTGGGTTTCTAGAAAAAAACTTCACCTTACTATTTTGTACTTTGTATATTAGTCATAATTTGTAGTTATATAGTTTAAGTTATTTAAACTATGAATGCATTTCCATTGTAACCCTTGGAAACAAATTTTTGCTCTTTTAGAGACTCACAACCATATTTGATTTGGTTTAAGAGAACTTGTGCATAAAGAATATAATGATTTTGAAAGCTGGCTGACAAGAGCCTTATGGCATATTTCTTTATTAAAGCAGTGTAATATAGATTATATGCTTTTGAATTGTAGTTGATTTTTCTTGAACAGGATTTTTTTCTCCTACCAAAGAAAAAAGGGTCTGGTATACCAAAACATTTAACTTCTGGTCTTGTTTTGTTCCATGACCAATTGTTATGATTCATTTATGCAATCAAAGCTTTTCAAGAGGCCATGAGGTGGGACTCTGCCTCAGTGAAGATCATGCAGGCTGGTCCTCTATATTTAAAACATAGTTAATTAAAAATAAGCGAAGTTCCTGTAAACTTTACCATTTCAGTGCTCAACTGCTACACAGGAGTGACCTGAAATGCTGGTGGAGATGCAACGTGGCAGGATGAGAAAGTGCTGTGAGGTTATAGAGAGCTGTTAGAGTTATTTATCCTTAAGGAGCTGCCAAGGTGTTCATGGAGATCTCACTGGCCATCCCATTTAATAGCCAGTGTAGCTGCAGTGCTCGAGTCTTGTTACAAACAGGATCTCTTCCCCTCTCCTCACCCTTACACAGGAAAAAAAGAAAGAAAATCAGGAGGTGGTGATAAGTTTTAAGAATTGAGCCTATATAGCAATCTGTCATGGGCAACTGGAGCCATGTAACCCTCAGATAATGTTTTGTGGCACAGCTGAGGAGTGCAGGTAGAACACAAGTGCTTGTTTTCCCTCTCCAGTTCCAGCCACTGAAGTGCAGCAGACACTGGAAAAGCAGTTCAGACTTTGCCACAAGCTGCCCATGTGTGTGACAGAGAGCTCAGCACAAAACCTGTTTGTACAGTATTTTGTTTGTACACTACTGTAGACTTGGTTCTGTGTCAGAAGTGAAGTAGATGAGATGTTTGAAAAGATGCTGAGGAATGAATGTTTGGACAAATTTATTGTCTGTTCTATCCTCAGAACAGAGTTACCTTCACATGTGAAACAAGGAGCGACTGAAGCCTGTGCCTGGCAGCAGCTGGTGTCTGAAAAAAAGGGATCATAAAGCTTGACTGCTAAATTTGGGTTTAGGAGCAGCCCACAAAGTCTGTAAATTTAAAATTTGGCCTTGGTAGACAGTGTGCAGGCATTCTTCACAAGGATCGGTGCCATTCAGTTAAAAACTCCTTCAAAACAGAAATTGTCTGCAACATGGATGAAAGAATATTGCTCAGGCAAATATTCACTGTTCACTTCGAGCTATTGGATGTGTTTCATGTGCTTCAGGGAGGAGGAGGAGAAGGCTGTTCATAAAACAAATGTGGTGCCTAGATTTGTCTTTGCTGAGATGTGGTGAGCAGTTCTCTTTCAAGATGTGCTTGCTAAGAGCAGTACAAAGCACAACAAGATTTGGTCGTGTTGCTATATAAGGATATGTTTAAAGACATTAACTATTAGCTATTGTTCTGTTTTTTGTTTTCATTATTTCAAGTTATGACTTTTGTAAATCATTTATTTTTCTTTTTGTTTGGCCTGTTTTGGAAAAAACATGCTAACTTTGAAATGAGCATCAGTAGCAAGCAAGGCAAAGGAAAAATAAGGAGCATGACAGTTTGCAGTGTTCATTTTAATTTTCTCATTGAATACCAGCTCTATGCTTAATTAGATAAATGGTTGTTGCTACACTGACTGGAGCCCAAGGGCATTTTGGATTTGTGCATTTTTAGGCATGATTGTTGTTTTACTGTAACTTAGTTTTTATTAAACAAAAGGAGAAACCTCCCAAGCAAAGTTTGTTTTCCAAACCATGGACAGATTTGTGACTAGTCTTTATTCCTGTGAAAATACTTTTATTCTTAATGGAAGACATTCGTAGCTTTTATTTTCATTGGGACATTTTATATTAGTTAAAAAGTTACCTTTCTTTTATTCTTAAAGATTTCATTACTACTGCTAGTATTTTTAGGTATTAATTACTCACTGCTGAAGACAGAGGGTTTTCATTAAAAGTAGGAATTTGTTTAGCTGTATGTATTTGGTTATTTTTATTGACTATATACTGGCAATATGTCAATCACTTGACACGGGAGTTAAGGCAGGAAGTTGAAACCCAGGGCCTGTTAGAGTTAATGAAAGCCCTGTTATTTATGACATTACTGTTCAGTTTTTACTCCAAGCAGTTTCTTCTTTTTGATTGTTCTATTCATTGTAGAAAATCACCTGTGCATATACTCAAATGTATTCTCAAAATTATTTGCATGAGCTAGATGGTCTTTGACAGGCTTTTATCTAATCTTAAACATTCCATTTATGAGGCACCAAATCACCCTCCTGTGTAGCTGTAGAAATGAATTATATAAATTCAATCTTGTTTTAGCTGCATTTTAGCTGTGTGAGTCAGGCCATTCTGCCTGAACTTTGGCCTCAGATTTTTCACTAAAGGTGCAGAAGGTGTACAAAAAAAGGGAAAATGTAGTTGATGAACTAAAATTTAAAGTTTTTGATGTAGTCAGTCTGAAGGCAACAATCACAGGACCTACTATCATCATCAGTCATGCTCTTTTATAATCCTCCAGAGTAAAAATAAATAACATACCAGAGCAGTTTTAAACACTGTAGAAAGTGAGAAAAGACTGTGTGTGTTTTCACAGCTTTCGTCTTTGCTTTGAAATGCCATAGTTGCTGTACACTGGAGTAGTTAATTAATGATTTCATACTAGTAATAAAATAATCTAGCTTTTATTTAAAATCTGAAGCTAAGGTGACATCTTGGAAAAAAGCAAACATTTGCTCTAAAGAATGAATTCAGTGATGAATTGCATTGTAGTGGATTTCACTTCTACAAATTAGCATGTGAATGTATGAAATTAGTGAATATTAGGGTATGTTAATGTGGGACTGCCTGCAGATCATTCTGATTGGAAGGTCCTGGTTTGGAAGCAAAAGTACCTCCTGACCTAATCAAAGGTCATATGACAAACTTTTGAATGTAAGATTTTATAATTGAACCCTAAAAGATGAAAAAGCCCAATTTTGAATAAACTAGATTTATATAAATTGTTCTGAGAATGTTATGAAAAAATACAGGAGAAAATGTTCATCAAAGGATAGAAAGTTTATACCTAATTACAATCTTCTAAATCCTATTTTTAATATTCTATTAGTTACAATACTATAATGCCACTTTAAAAATAAGAAAAAAAAAGTAAGAAAACCTTCCTGTGCTACTTAACATCAATGAAATACCAGTTGTCATTGCATTTGTCTCTTGGTTTTCTCAAGGAAAAGCTCTGAGAGGTGATGACTGCTGTCAGAGATAGTCAGTCCCAGCAGGCACAAGCCTGCAGCCAGTTTGGAGTCACATCCACACTCTCTGTGCTGCTTTCTGCTCCTCTGGCACTGGTTTTGTATGGAAGCAGGTTTTCAGATCACACACCTTGAATAATGGAAACACATATTCAGGGAATGGTGCCTAGGCTGAACTGAGGGAGGTGTAGGTGCAAAGAAACAAATAAAAGCATTTGGCTGTTCCAGCAGGCATCCTTGAATATTTCCCTTCTTCTGACAGAGTAAAGGTGGTGGGCAG